ATTTTATTTAGCGATTAAAACTTCCTATATCTTCGTATGTACATTATATATGTTTTTACATGAGACAGTGAGTATATTAGCAAGCTGTGCCCACTCCAAAAAGAACCATCCTTGTTTCAGCCTGCGCGTGGAATACCACACGTGTAGTTGTAACAATTTTGGATTATGCATGACTACCAGTGCATCTCCCGATCCACCAAAGCTGAGAGTCTGGATAACTATTTGATGACATTGGCACCGTCAGGGCCCAGCGATTTTTCGCTGCAGATTTCGGGGTGGAGGGGGTTGGGGGGGGCAATTTGCATCAATTTGCATGATATGTTGTGCGATGTTTATTTTTGGCTCCAGTGTCACGTCTTCATGGAGGCGCTCTTGCGTCGTCGGGACTCTGAAAGACTCTGAAAGTTCATACGGGAACGATTGATGGAGTTTGGTCTTTGTTGAAAAAGGATTTGCCGAAGCAGATCAGAACCACTGACGTCACCGATCAGACACAGATCAATCAGAAGATCTGGCGTCATGCAAGGGCGTGGCAGTGGCGATGGGAACATGCCAAGCACGATTCCCTAGCCGCACCGACTGCGAAAACGCTGTGAGCCATGTGAGAAACACACGCAGCTGTCCAGTGATGATGCAGTTTTTCTTGAAAATGGGATCTCAATTTTAGGCACGGGAAAGCATGTTTTGTGTGGCAAATACCACAACAATTACAAATCCCCATGGAAGTGCACGCATTTCTCTGTATTCAACTCTCAAGAATACTGCAAATAGAACATTGGAATGCTATACGCAAACACAAAAAACGCCAAAGCACACGTTCAGAAATCCACGCGTCGGGCAGTTTCACATGAAGCCGCCGTTTATCAAATGAACCACTCGCTTGGTTTGCCCGAACTCCGCGTGCCCGAGCCGGATCCCGGATCCGGTTCCGAACTCCGGGTGCGACATCCGGGTGCGACATCGCCAGGTGATCCGAGTGATGAACACCTTCGAGCACAGCAACACGGGTGGAATCAACAAATACACACAGACCATTTCACCGGCTGCGACTTGGATAGAATTTTTTTTGCTTGTCAAGCCACTTATAAGCCACTTTGTTTGTTGGGAGAAGGATTTGTTGGGCGAGTTGGGAACTTGGCCCCAAAAAGAGAGACCTCAGACGTTTGCTGAAAGCACTGCAGACTTGTATCATTGCTTGAGGATGCTTGAGGAATGTGTAGCATTCAGTTGATTTGAACGTTGCGAAACTTCTCTGTATATAGGCTGAATGTTCGACCACTTGCCATTTGTTGCGTTTGCACGTGGTCCATAATTTTTTGTTTGAACAAGGAGGACAGGAAGCAAAGCGCCCAAGACCGACGACTCACGACTGGTAGACATGAGACGAAGCACCTCCTTGAGATTCACACTCTTAAGACTCTTCAGCTCCTCTAGTCGTGAAAAAAACCTTTGGATCACTGATTGAGTTTGACTTTGACTTGTTTTGTTTACCTCTTTCATGATGGTTCATATTGTGTTCATACTATTTGTCTCGGCTAGATCTTGTACACAGCCTACTTCAGAGTAGTTAATTTGTTGAGTTCCATGGTTGTCTTGTGGTTAGATGCAGGAAGTAGGGAACCTTCACCTGATCCTCATCCCACTGGTTCCCTTGTGCGTTCGACTTGGATGGCCATCATTGCTGGCCGCTCGTCGCCTTGCAGATCCTTTTGTGGTGAACATGGTTTTTCGCAACTCTCGGATCCACAGACATCCCCAGAGGAAATGCATTAAGTTTCATCTCCTCAAACGCAAACAAATTCAGCGACCTGGTTTTCCCAAAAAGGATTCAGGGACCAGGTCGAACTGTTCCCAAACGACGCCAGGTTTTCACTCTGGGACAGCTTGACGCTGAGCGGCGCCTTAGCGTTTCCATGCGTTTCCGACGGCTCAGGTGACGCAAGGACTGTCCTTGATCCCAAACTTCGTGCGGTTCTTAGAGGGGCTTCAGCGATAGTCAGGACCGGTGACTCAGCGATATCTCTTTGGGAAGGTCCTGGCCAGTGACCGTCTTGAGGCCTCAAGACATTGGGGCTACACCCTGGAAGAGACCCACATGGAACCTGAAAACCACTCGGGTTGTAGAGCAAAATAGTCTTCCAAAGGTCCATGTTACAGCTTCCAGATTCAATGTTAATCTTCCCGGGTGTAACCCGTGACCAAAGCACTGGCGGGATCACTTGACCAAAGAATGACTGACCCTTTGTTCACGGGGTTCCCCCCCACTTGGTGAAACGAACGAACGAAAGGAAGTGGGAGTCGTTCGTGACCTTTGTTTCGTTCGGGACCGAGCGGAGGGATGCTGATCGCGGTTTTGGACCACTCTCAGGCTCAAGATCCTTTATATTCGTACGAGTGAGGGATGACGAGAAAAGATAGTAAAACCTCATGCAGAGATTTTCTGTAACTGTAAGTTAGTTCTTGCTTAATCGCTCGACAGATGCAGGGGTTTAGATGGGTTTAGAGACCTGTGGTGATCCAGGAGTTTTGTTACTTTTGAGCCATCTCTTTTTCTGCTCATTGATCGCGTTTTCTGCAGACACCAGGTTCCCGTATCCGATCACCGGTCAAGACACATGAGGATTTATATGGATGGTTCATGATGGTTCTATCAAAGACAACATGAGACATGAGTCAAGCTCAAGCATTTAGTTGCCACTTTACATTCCTCGAGGGAGCACCGCTGTCGCCTGATAAAATGGCTGGAGTTGGAAGCCAACATTGTTGAATCAGGTCATTGACTTTGTCCTGCCCGCTAATGCCTGGTTGGCAGACAAGTTGGTGCGAGAGCCCAAATTTGCAGAGTCTTCAGTCTTGATATATAAAGACCCGGTGGGTGATCCAGAAACTGCGCTGATATGCCTGGCTTCAATTCATATGTCAATAGATTACTTTCCTGTTCATGTGCTTTTCGATCTCCTTCCTTTCACAGTGAGGCTCATTGCAAGCCTTTGTTTGAGAAGATATCTTCCCGGTGGAAAATCCTCGAAGGTGCTCTCAATCTGTGGAAGAAGTCAACAGCAAGAGCCAACGACACTGTCTCTGCTTGCTAGCCCTTCAGGAATCGCATGTTGAATGCATGAACAACAACACGTGGCTTTTTGCTTCGCTTCATGCTTGATCATGAGTGATAGGTGCTTCTGAGTCATTTGATCCTAGTTGGTGGCATTCCTCTTCATGATCGCATGGGTGTTCACGTGTTTCACCATCCCACATCCGTCCAAAGAATGGATTCTTACGTGCCGCTGCCGGGGATGATGACGGAGAAAGGCTCGATTTCCGAACGAGGTCCTTACAGCGCCTAAGAACTTCCTGATGCAGCTGCCATACATGGATGGCAACGCGCCCGCGGGCCCAGATTGGACATCGAATTCATCATTGGAATGAATGTATTTGGAAGTTCTAGTCATCTAAGCGCCATTGGATAGTGAGAGCAAGCGCTTTCACACAAGCCTACTGGGATATCCTAGCGTCATTGAGCAAGCATGTTCTCCAAGTAATCATTGCAAGATCGTAGGGGTATGTAGTTCATTGTGTTCTATAAGTGTTTGAGTTTAGACACACTCTTTGCTAATATTAGTAGCTGGTACGAAGCAGAGGAGCCACTGTTCTGCCGGCAGTATGTGCAATCTCCTTTCCTGCTCACGGGCCGGGAGTATTCCTTTGTTGGTTTTTAAATGCCACTGGGACCACAACGGCATTTTCCAATTTTCCCACCTTGAACCATTTGCATACATTCCCAGTGAACGAATTTCCAGTAGAAATGAATCCTGCAAGCCAGATGAAAAAAGGCACTGGATGAGGTTCCGAAACAACCTGCTATGTGGTCATGTGTGTGTGTGTGTCTAACAAGAGTCTAATACCTTCCCAACAGCAGTATTCTTCCAAAAGATGCAGTTTGTAAACATGCTTTCTAGATACACCAGTGACCAAATGTGAACGCAGCAAAGAGTCGTAATTGACTTCCGGACCATGCAGTCAATCTCACTAGCCCTACTTTGCATTTCAATTATATACCCTTGAAGAGACCCAGTCAGAGCCTGGCTTCAAGCCAAGGCTATTCTTGCATTTGCTGGCCCTGGCTCGAGATCTGGGTAGAAAATCGTACCCAGGAAGAAACAAACTGGCTTGCAGTAGAGTAATATGTGACGCTCCAGCCACAAGACTCAGATTAGCAAACTATAACACTTGATATGTAATCTACAATATTACCCATACGCTCCCTCAAATTATTGATCAAGTGAAGATTCTCAGTCCACCCCTGCCTGGACGGGGTAGAGATTGCTGAGAGCACGTGTTCATGTGGAGATACCAACATAATTTGACCACGACAGCTTTGGCGCATGCAGCATGCAAACCTGCCGAAACATTGACTCTCACCTCTAAACATCTAGAGGAGGTCAATTGAACTGACCCTCAAACACGTCAAGAGATGGGAAGCCCCACAACATTTGGGAACCTGTGACAGACACAAAACAAACTGCTGAGAACACGGCCTTCCTAGAAATCTTCAGTATGTTTTTTTTCTTCACTGGTCTTGGTAAAGGGTCTCGCCAGGATAGCTAGCCAGCATGATTTGCTGTAAATATGATAAACCGATAGACCCATTTATGTTCAAAGGTGTAGTTTGGCCCTGCATCTCAGTTCAAGCCGTTCTTGACCGTGGCCATTGTCCTCTCTTTCCCTTGACCAAGTCACAGTCCATGTAAGCTGCGCATCAGCTGCGCGTCATGGCCGAGAGCGCTGTGCGGAAAGATGACTTCTCTGGCGGGATGTTTTCTCAATGGAGTCTCATGTCCTTCTTTCCTTTCTGCTGCTCGGTTTACATGGTGAGTCAAAACGTGGAGCTTCTGCTACCCGGTAGGTTGACCTCCCAGGTAGGTCAAGCGGTCGGTCTCCTGGTCTTATGACCAACAGCTACACGTTTTCGCAAGACTTTCGGCTTAAACACGGAGCCGATCGGGCGTTTGTTTTTGTCGCCTCCGTGGCTTCTTTTCAGCCGGCGAGTGGTCGGTCGAGGTTGTTCCCATGCCTCGATGAGATTTGTACCATTTTGCCTCCGGCTGTACTGTAGAGGTCGGGGTAGCTGACGTTTATGTTTTTCCGATAGGATTCCAAGCGCAGCTTGAAGAACGCCTGATTGGAAGGGAAAAGAACATAGCACAGCAGCGTAAATGAATGGACCGCAGTCCTTTTTGTTTGGCACATGCAGCTAGTTGTTGTTCCCCGCCAACTGGGGTCCACAGGATTCCTCCTGTCTTACCCCTGTAGTAGAGGGGTAATTGTGCGTTTTGGGAAATTGCATGAACATGTCATGCCTGTGTGGCCATTCAAAGGCCAAGCTCAGTTCCATCAATTGCGGATGGACATTGGGAACATTGATCAACTTCAGCTACCCAGTTTCTCCGACCCAAATCCCAGGTCCTTTGTGGGTAACCACGAATGAACTCCCCAAAGGCTTTTTGTGTGCCGCACAAGACCCAGGCTATGCAGAGAACACGGCGTCAACAAGTAGTGAGACGAGCCATGGTATGCGGAGGTCCCAGTGGGGTGTCTATGACAACCAATGGGAGTGTGTGTTCCTTTCTGATAGCAGCTTTTGTGATTCTTTGTAACTTTGTACCTTGTTTTCTGACCACCACAGTATATAGAAGGAGAGATGACTGAACCAAACAAACTTGTTTTGTCTCCCCTTCAATTGTCCTGACTGTTTTACAACGGATGTTGCAACAAGTTGTGCTTGGGGCATGTGCATGTGCACTCATGTCGCGTCAAAGCCACCTGCTGTTCCTTGTTTGTTGTCCATCATTGCACCCCGGGCATGAAAATTCCAAAGCATACTGAAGTAAACCCAGACATTGAGGTCTTCAACTTTGTGCCAACACTTTCGCAATCTTGGAAACGCCAATGCGTGGAAACTCCATATCTTGGTTCCAACTGTCCAAGAAGGAACTTGTTTTTTGACCTGTGATTTGGGTGGACCAGGGTCGACGACGGTTTTCAACACGAGAATGCTGGGGTTTTGAGATGATATCCAGGTCCATTGGGGCATTGCTAGGTAAGGATTGAAATAGGATTGGCCTGGTCTTCCCTTCCACCAGAGGCCACATATTTATTGTAATCATTGGACTGTTGAACAACCTATTGATACAGGATTAAGAATTGAAATTGCTGTTCCCCAGTATCATGCTTGGTGCTCCTCTCTTCTTCAGATCAAAAACTCCAACCTCATGACGCACCGAGGAAGGTGGTCTCCTTGCGCGCGGATCTCGAAGGCACCTCGCCGCCCTTCGCGCACGACTTGGCGGAGCATGACTGCATCGATACCACGGTCGGCCCCAATGGGCCGAATGGAACCGCCTTCCGCGACTGGGGCGCAATGGGGTCACCGGACAAGCACGAAGTGGACCTAGTAGCAAAGTGCATCGCTACGAACGGAGCGATCGGACGCTACGAATGGGGCTCCTGGCCGTACTACTAGGAACAAGAAGCTACTAGGGGCTCCTGGCATCGCTACTAGGAGCGATCGGACGCTACTAGGGGCTCTGCATGTAAATAAATAGACATCTACATTCCAGACGCTTCATGTGTGGCATATGCCTACAGTATCCCACATCGTGGGAGGTCTCAGGGGTCAATATGCAAATTTATAAATATATTTATATATCGACGTATATATTATATACAGTATTATATGTACACTATACATGGGAAGGTTTCAGGGGTATATATGTTATAGCATGAGTTCCTTCAGATGATCGGTGATGTCCCAGGCAACCGGAGACTGGTGCACATGGAGAATGTCATGACGCCACGGCAACATCACTTCAAAGAAGCAGTTCAGCTTCCAAAGCTTCTTCGATATCCATCATTGCCCAAGGACCTCTTGCTTTGGCTCTTGTGTTTTTTGCGAGAAGCGCGCCCAACGCTACCCCATCCATTCCGAGTCTCCTTGGATGCTGAAAATGCCGTTCGATGCCTATTCAGCAAAATTCCACATCATGCTGCACGTGCATCATATTGCAGCAGAACTTGGCCCTTCAATCCTGGGCTCCCATTAGAACATTAGAACATGCTTGCTACAGCATCGCACCTGACTCGTCTCGCCGAGAACTGCCACATCCACGCGTCACGCACGGAATTCTTGGAGCGTGTGCTCAAGTGTTGGACCTGGTGTTTTGTGTGTTATTTTCACCTGTGTTTTGCATATGTTTCTTTTTGCCGCTTTTGCTTTTCCTATGACAGCGAAAATGGCTGACGGGTAAAAGCCCTCATAAGTTCAGAAATGGTACACCAGGAAAAGAGCAAAAAACAATCAAATGCAATAGCAAAGTTAATTGCGTTGCTTTTGCATTTTCATTAGCTTTTGTGTGCTTTTGTTTTTTGTGTTTCACGAAACTGTTTTTTGATGATTGGTCATGTATAGCTGCCATTGCCAAACCTATTATGCCCATGTTCAGCAATGTTCGTTCCAAGACCGCACAAAGACTGTTAATAAAAAGACACATATTAAACAATTTCTATGACTTGTCGCCTGACTGAACATACTGAAACTGATTGTGAAGCCATGTACCGAGCCACTGAGTGTTGGCAGGACTTCACATTAGAAGAGGGCAACGAGGAATATCAAGAGCGAGAGGTCTTGCTACAGCTCTTCAGGGAGTTCGCGCTGGATATGAATCGGGGCAGGTATTTGACGCTACACATGACTGTGAGGGGCAGGAATGGATTTGTTTGTGCACAACACGCTTTTTGCATTCTATATATGTAAAAGGAATTATATGTAATTGTATATTAGTAATTATACATATATATGTATTTGTATACTCTCAAAACGTGTAAGGAGAAAAGGAAGGGATATCCACGCGTTCTATCAGCTTTGAGGTCACCAACCTCAGTTCCACTCCACGATTGAATTTACTATTGGTCGATGTTGGTGTCGTCATGTTGTTTGTTCATGTTTGTTCAATATAGATCATTATTTGCCTTTAATATTGTGGCATGACTTGTCTTCTAAGGACACAGCTGGGATCGAATCAAGACTATTCGGTGATTCATTGCCAAGTGATGGATGACCTGCAAACCTTGAAGGTGGATCAAGGAAATGGTACCTCGCTTGCGGTTCATTAGCAGCCAAGTCGACCGCTGTTGCACAAACTCTTTTGAACCAGAGTCACAATTTGAAGACCTGGCTGTGGAGTACGGTTTGATTGCCAGCCGGCAGGTCAAGGTCAACCCCAGTTGTCCTCTCACCATGTCCCAGGCAAACATGTCCAACGGTTGGCACGTTTGGGTTCGAACGTCTCTCTGAGGTTTGTTCCGGACTCCCAGAGTCCGAATCCACAGCCAGGTTGTTCGAGGTCTCAACCGGATGGTTGGTTTCGGTTTGGCAGGAAAATCCGCAGGAAGAGCAAGTATCAGCATCCGTTCAGTAGGAATCCTGTGGTGTCTTTGGAGGTATCTTGGAGGTTAGTCAGGAGAGGATCAAGGGAGTTCAGAAACGGTTGGTGTACGAAAAGAGAACAGGGAGTCTAGCTGGAGGTTCAGCGAGAATCATCCAGCATACACAGAATAGATCACATAGTTTCGATTAGTTTAGTACATCTTCAGAAGATGCACCTACGTGAAGGTTGCCGTTCTTCCGAACCCTTTCTGCGTCCCATATGTCCCCTTTTCTTGGACCAAGCATCCGAGCCTTCAGAATCTACCCGCAGACTCAGGTTTCGCGTTTCCGCGTTTCTCTGTTTTTGTTCCCGCGTTTCCGCAACGCTGGGAAGGGTCATCCCACGCTACCCACGCCCCACGTGTTCCTTTCGCCAGGTTGTATCATCGAGTTCCCTCTCACCGGCGTCTCCAAAGTCTACCGCATCGTGAAGACCGATGAGCGCCTCACCTCGATGTCCAGCACACCCGCGCAGAACATCGATCCTTGGGCGGAGTCCGGGCGGCCAGGCGGAGTGAGTGAAGCAAGCGTTTCTTGGTGCAAGCTCCACACGAAGTGACTGCCAGATCATGTAACTAATGTAAGACTGCATGGACGGACAAATACGTGTAATATATGTTATATATACTATATCTATCTATGTATCTATCTATCTATCTATCTATCTATATATATATATTATATATATATTATGTATTATATACCATATATACCATCACTGGCACCACCATCACCACCCAATGGGGAGCCGGAAATCGCTTCTTAGCCTTTGGGGTCTGAAGTACACGCCCTAAGAATCATAGAATTATGCATGCTGTTTTGGATATCCCTTGGCCAGTGAACCAGAGGGGTTGGATGGGAGAGATTGGCCTTTGTTGCCGTTCTGCCTGCCTGTGACCAATATTTGTATGTCCTTACTTTCGGGGTGTTGCTTGCCACGGTTACTTTTCCATTTGAACAATCTTAGATGGAAAACCTGGTACTGTAGTTATGGAGCTGGTTCGAACGTTTTATCCTATTTGCTACGTTGCGATGTGATCTTCAACTCGTGCAGCAACAGCCATGCTCCACAACTACGGCACCTTTCCAATGGTTTACTCATGACTCAAGCGTTGCAAATCTAGCACGTTTATTTTCCTTTGGTGTTATGTTCTGATAAGAAGCATTGACATGCATGGCGAAACAAGGATCACATACTACAGATGAGCACGTGTGCTGTTTGTTTGCACAATGTTGTTGGCTTGCCTTTCCTGCCATTCGTTGCTTTCACACTCCTCCATAGAATCGGCAAGCAACAAACCAATCAATTGTATAATGATACAACTAAGAGGGCCATTCAGGACTCAACACATTAGACACCAGGCCTGCAGGTATGCGCAGCTCAGTTTGTGGCATTGGTTTTCCCAGTAGTTCTGAAGTGTCTCTTTGCACTGGGAACCAACTAGTAGCAAGGTGCATCGCTACTAGGAGCAAGGACGCTACTAGTAGCTCCTGGCATTACTACTAGGAACGAGAAGCTACTAGTTTTGCAATGGCTTGCAGGTCGTGAACTGGGGTGCTTTCACGCATGGGTTCAGTCTGACTTGCTTCGGACGTCCGACTCGACAAGAGGATTTTACCCTGAAAGGATACTTTTTCAGTAAAAAGGGATGAAATATATGACACTTTTGAACCACCAAATCCAAGCAATTCTCAGTGGGTTCTGGCCTTGGGTCAACAGAACTGTCGAGTCTTTCTTGTTCATCCAGACCAATCTGCTGCCTCAGGAACATATTGTGGTGGTGGAGTTTATGCGACGAAAATTGGCCTTCGTGTCTAGATGGGAATCGTTGTGTGGCATCTGTCGCTTTTCCTTGAGAATCGAAGCCTTCAAATCCCAAAACTCCCAAGCAGCACACTTCAGAAGTATGGGATGCTTGGAAAAGCACACTTCAGAAATCTTCAGAAGATGGTTTCGGCATGATATGGGGTGACCCAACGAATGGGTTTGAGTCCTGGGTTTTCAGTCTAAAGCCCCTTGGTCCCCGTGTTCTAAGAAGGTTTGTGGGGGAAGTTTTGAATTGACACACCCCCACTTGAAGCAACTTGCAGAGTGGAGTCCGCATTTTCTTTATGCCCAACCCACTTGCGCCTACTTGTACGCTGAATTGCAAGTTCTCAGCACATGTTACGATTCTTTAACATACACTTTGATAGAGGCATCAATTCAAGAGGCTTTGGGCAGACACGAGCTCCCTGCCTTTTCTGGTCCCCAAAATGCTAATGAACAACTAGAGACCCTGAAATCACATCCCACACTTGGTTTTACACTCGCAATTAGTGTGTGTTTTCCACCTGCCAGGGTCTTGACATAGATTTGAACAAAGGACCACGGAGAGGGCAAGGTCAGTCTGGGCGCGCGCGGACCTGCACGCCATAGGGGGTGCCAGCGCATGCACCTGGACACCATAGACAGATCCAAATCAGTCTGAACATATAATGTCAGAAGATATGCCAAATAGAATGCCAGTAGGTAAGCCAGAAGATATGCCAGAAAGGATGTCAGAAGATATGCCCGTTTGAATGTCGGCCTTCCTGCTATTTAGAATGTCAAAACATAATAAATCACATGTCAGAAGCTGTGTCACAGCATATGTCGGAACAAGTGGCAGGCTTGAATGCAGAACACATACCAGAACCCATGTTGAACCATATGTCAGAGCACATGTCAGACTTCACGTCAGAACAAGTGTCAGAATGCATGCCAGCAAGAGCGTCAGAACACAGTCCAGAACAACCTTTCTAGCCTTTATGATGGATGATGTGTCAGAACAGAACAAGCGTCAGAACATTGTGTCAATGCGCATGTCACAGCGTTGCCAGGCTAGTGTGTCAATGCAGCCTTCCCTTGTTCCAAATCGCCTTTCAGGGTGGATATCACTTGAAATTTGTGTTCGTCACTTGGGAATGTCCGTGTACCGCTTCGCAGGATTCACACTTTTCGGGCAAACCGGGTGGCCAACTTGGCTTCAAAACCAGGTCTTCACGGAGGTCCAGGAGGCCCAGCGGTTTTTGCTTTGCATGGAGCTGATGATCCGACGGGCACAGGAGGAGTGACGAATCCCGTGGAGTGACAGATCGGCGGATGTGTCGTTTCATTCCAGGTTGGATCAAATTTGGCTGAACTTAGATTGGGGACGGTGTGTCGACGCATTTCAAAAAGAAGCACAATTCAGCTGACGCTGCGGGTAAGTCTTCGAACCTGAAAGATCACTAGGTTTGTGAACCACTGTTAGAATACAGCTTGGCTACCCCCATGTCATGGTCATGTCAATCGAGGTCTTTGGGAGCAAGTTGGGAAGGGAAGCCTGATAGGGTGACCGGCTTCACTGATTGATTTGGACCCCGCCCGTCACAGGACAAAACGCGCAGTTGGCCGTGTGTCTGGAACATGAAAGACCGACAAGTGGTGTTTAAGATGGTTTAAGAATTGACGGACCTCGGAGAATTGTAGAAACAACTCTAGTACATTGTAACCATTATCCTGGGAACCAACATGGGTGGAAAACGCCCTGTTTGTAGAAGAAATGTGTCTTCCAAAGGGCCATTGTCCACTTCCATGTTACTTCCAGGGAGTGCATGGATTCAATGTGATTCATATGTATATGTGTAAAATAAATGTATTGTACTGGAAGTTGAGCTTTTGTACTGGAAGTTGAGCAGAGCAGTGGCGAAGCTTGTGCTCTCGATCACACACTCAACAGCACCACTCACTGGCTTCGCGTGCGCAGGAAGTCCGGGATGGTGCTGACGGTCAAAGCTGTCCAAGAGGGTCGCAGGTTGGCGGAACTTGACTCATGGGTTTGGTTGTAGCCATGTCTCGGGAAAGGGACTGCGAAGAATTACCGCGGTTGATATCGGATATCGGATGTACACATCGCCTCCCCCAGAAGACATGGCTTTGCAGGGGCAGGGGTGCACAGTGATTAGGTGCTGCAACAGTGGGAAGGGTTCAATCTTGAGCTGAGGAGTTCACACCAACGTTTGGGAGTTCTCCACGCTTGTTCTTTTTTTGTTTGTTCGCCCAGAGAGGTCAGTGATGAAGCTGAACCATGTGGTTTCTCTCCCTCCGAATTCCGCAGCTGTAAGGCTTAAGGCGATCTCCGGTCACTTCGTTTGCGACGGACTGGGATTCTGGTTGAAAGACAATGGTGAACCATTTTTTTTGTTGCCCCAATACGAGTGCTATAGTAGAAGATAAAGCTATAGAACCTCAAATTACTTCAAGGTTATGTCATTCGGCGGATATATAAGTTTGTTCAATTCTTAATTAGCTTGTCCAACTATGGAGAAGACAGCTCCGCATCTTTTTCTTGCAGGTGTAGCCCATCGGTTCTGACCTGGCAAGCAACATCGCAAGAAAAGAAAAGGACATTGAGTAGATCCCTAAACTCTAGACACCGTTATTTAAACCGCTCAAACACCTTCGACAAGCCAAGTTCCACTTGGTGAAAGCTCTCAGCGTTTCGAAACCCCTTTGTGTTTTTGCTTGCTCAATCCGTGGTATTGGCACCATGGCGGTTTTCACGCGCCAGTTTCTTCGTCCAAAGGCCGCCCGGAGTCCTTCGACGTGTCTGTTATTGTACTGAGCTCGTTGCTTTTGGATGCCAGTAGACGAGAAAAGAAGAGATCATGGTGGATTGGATCGGCAACACAAATCCTTCCGCCTTGCTGATGGAGTCCACCGCGATCTCTCCTTTTCATCAGCTGGTCTACTACTGGCAGAGCTATGGGATCGATTCCACAGGCACGTGGGACTCCTTCCTTTTCTCAGCCCAAGGGATGCAGGTGTGCGGCTGAAAGTGTTGCAACGGATGTGGGCTCTCGTGTAAGCCTAAGCATCACCGGAGCTTTGATGGCAATCGTGGTCAATGCTTTGTTCCTGGTGGATGGCTTGAAATGCTTCATAAAGACTGAACTTGTCCTGCCATCATTCCGGCTGACCCCAACGGCCATGTTTTCGGGCCGCGCCGCGACACAGACGGGCCGAGACGGGCCTTGGTGCGCTCCAACGAAGCAATGGCCGCTGCGGTGGGATCAGGTGACGGAACCGATCGTGTTGGATCGGTCGGTGTGCCCTACGGGGATAGACCTGACCCCCCCCAGAGCCACAGTGGTCACCGTCCAGCTGCCCAAGATTCACTTCGTGTTTCCACGGGCAACTTCCGTGTCACTGGGGTGTCCTGAACAAAATAAACGAAGCAGAAATGGCCCCAGAAAAAAGTCTGGCGGCATGAGTGCGCCAAAGGATTCGATCTTGGAAGAGATGTGCACAATGGCCCCCCAAGAAAAGCTTCAAAGTTAGAATACCCCGACTATCACGGCTACAAGCTGGTGTTCTTCACCGAGATCCCTCCCGGTGCGGAAGACAGGCACCCACACTGGTCAAACGTGTTGGCACTTCTGAATGTGCTCCAATATGAGCCGGAGGTGGACTACGTGTTTTGGAGAGAGCGTTTCTCTTCTTGTGAATTTCTGTGAATTACAACGTCAGCTTGGGGGACTATACGCCCAGAGGAAGCAGAAGCAGCTCCATGACCTTGAACCTTTGCTGCTTTTATTATGGGCACATCCTGTTCAAGAACGACAAGTGGACGCATGATGTCTTGAAGGAAGTTTGGAAGACTTATCCTCCCCAGAACTGTGGCAAGATCGGAAAGGATCGACATCATGTACAAGCTCTCTACTTCCAACAGAAGCAAAGCGGAAGGCAGAAGCATGTCTTGAGAACTTGCCGCCTGGCGAGTGATCTAAAGGGACATGCTGCATCCCAAAGCTGGTCCCTGGCTGATTGCCTTGAACTCAACGCCTTGAGCTCAACACCTTGAACTAACAAAGACGGCGTTCCCAAAGAAGGACTACTTCATCGTGCACTTCGCAGGCCGCGATGCTGAGTTCCAACTTTAATCAAGGAACAAATTCGAGATAGATACCTACTAGCGATGGCCTCCAACAGCAATGGCCTCCAACCGGTGACCTCCAACTTACCTGCGATGGCCTCCAACCCAATAGCAATGGCCTCCAACTTACTTGCGATGGCCTCCAACCTAATAGCCACGGCCTCCAGCCCAGAACATTTGGCTACATGCAAGTTTTTCAGCGGGGCCAACAAGCGACGGTCGCAAGGCCGCATGCAGAATCTATCAGAATCTCATCATTGTACCTGTCCGTTCGGGGAAGGCCGCATGCAGAATCTCATTTGTCCTTTCTCTGTCCGTTGGGGTGGCCGGTCGCAAGAACGCCCACCGATGAGCAGATGCATGAGCAGTTGGAAAGTCCTAGACCTGCGACAGTCATCTCGAGTCATCCGACAGGGGTCTCTGTTTGCGAGTCCTCGGTTTGCGGTGAAAAACATTATTCTTTTCCGCAGCTGCGCAGGAAAAGAAGGTGCTCCTCATGCGCGCAAGTTCCACATGGAATCTCCTGCCTAAAAGCCAGGACTTAATTTTGTTTGGCCTACTAGAGAGGGAACTGCCAAGTCTTTGGGTGGGAGAAACATGGAGAAACCCTCCACAAACACTCCCGCTGGAAGCCTTCATGGCGGAAAACCACTAAACAACACACGTGGCAGGCGCGAAGCACTGCTGGGACGGCACCCTTTGGGGGTCAAAGGCGTCCGGTGCGGCCTCTGTTGGGAGAGCCCAAGACCAACACTGGCCACTTGGCCAATCTGGATCCTTGCAGGGTAGGTGCACGTCCTAGGGCGGAAGGGGACTGCGCGAGGTACGAGCATGCCGGGGTTCTCTTGGTTCTCGGCGAATCACGAGAAGTGTTTCGGAAGTTGTTGGGTGTTTCGGATGTTGAACATCACAGGATTATACGGCAAGACTCGGTTGCTCCCAGGCAACCGTTTTTTGTTTTTGGGTGCTAGGGTAGCATATCTCAGATGGTCCGTTCTTTGGATCCAATATGATCCAATCCAAAAGGGTGAGCTTCGTCCATGGTGTGCACCTCAATGGATCCCGCAAGTGACATCACACGTGCTGATCTGATTATGGGGGTTTTCCGTGTCCATGGGCAGCTTAAAAATACCCACGTGACTAAAGGGGGGTGCAGAGATGTATAATGTAGCAGAGAAATGGCTGTGGGTAAAAAGCAGGAGCCCCAGGGTTGACTGACGAAAATGAACAACATAATACTACCAGGGAGGTCAATCTACCAGTGAAATGGGCTCCAGGTTTTGACCCACAGCCAAATCTTGGTGTCATGTTTTCGGACACTGCCACTTCCCCGCCGAAGGAAGAAGGCCAGGTTATGTTTGCCAGATCCCTTTATTGTAGAAGTTGATTATCTGGAAACAAAACGCAACACAAAAGCAACAAAAGTGCAAGCAAACAAAACACTAGCAAAACAAAAAGCAACCAAGAAAGCAAACAAAACAAAAAAACAAGGCAACCAAAAAAGCACAAGCAAAACGAAGAGCAAGCAAGAAAGCAAAAACAAGAAAAGTGAGAAAAGTGCAACCAAAAAAGCACAAGCAAAACAAAGAGGTCCCTGAGGTTTTTGCACTCCGCCGGGCTTTCTGGCGCACTTTTTGGAAGGGTCCACTTGGTCCATTGGTTGCTCTTTGTTTTGCTATAGTGCCTTTTTGTTTGCACTTTTGTTTTTTTTGTGTTTAATTGTTTTTTTTCTAGAATAAAGCCACCTATGGTGGACATAAGCCAAGGGATGATGTCGGTCCATTGGGGAACCTTCATGACATGTTCACAACATATAGCTCAATGCTCCTTTTTCGGCTAAGCAGGGTTCCCATGTTGCTTTCGCATTCATGTTCGACGTAATCGGCGTTGCCCCACCAGTACGTCGGCTAAAATGCCACGTGGTGCCCGGTTCTCCACCGTGGTCGCACTGGCCCAGGAGTGGAGTGCGTTTGCAAACACGAGTGATCCCGTGCAAACCCACAGCGTGTGTCCTCCTCCGTTTGAAGACGCGTGGAGGATCGCGGGGAGGATCGCGTGGATGACGTGAACCGATGCTTCCACGGGCCAAACCTTGCTTAAACAAACAAACACACACACACTTATATAACTCATATCAGAGAACCGACCCAGATCGAGGACATGTGTTTTTTGTTTTCGATCTTTGCATTTTCAGTAGTATGCGTATGCATCTTTGGAATGCTTTGGGGTGTATTTGGGTGTTGTAGAAACGCATACTATATTGCCACTTGGAACCTTGATAGTCGTCTCAATGTAGTCCCCCCCCAGTATCGTCACGAACAGTCAGTAGGCCTCCTAATTGGGGTTGAAGATGCTTGAGCCTTGCAGCTGCCTATACCTGCAATACTGGAAAGATCTTTCATCACTATTCTTATAGTGGAATGCCATCATCAACTATTTCAGGGTGAGCTGGGTCGTACCTGGGTCTTACCCTTTTGCCACACTAAAGCCATCTAAAGCCCATGTTCTTTGAACAAAGATGGGGTTGTACCACGAGTTCGAAATCAGTGCGGACCATGGTCGTGTCCACGTTCACGGACTCCGGACCCCTGAGCTTGGCAGTTCGGCGAAACGAAAACACCGATTCGAACGCTCGTTTCCCTGCTGAAACGTGTTGAAACCATCATTGTTATACAGCTATTTACAGTGGATTCAGAGGTTCGATGGCATTGGCACCTCTACATGTCTTAGATGGAGGTCAACACATACCACCGACCTTGTGGATTGTGCATGATTGTGCCATTTACTCTCCATCCACTATGGTATAATTGATATACGTGCCATTGGATCAATCAACTCTTGCAGTCTCCGAATGCCATGGCTCCTCCCAATTCCATGGAATTTATGCGAGTCTGATCCGAGTTGAAGCGGCCAGGTGCGGCATGTTTTGAGTTCAGCGTTGCGTTTTTTATTGGACTTGGCATGAAATAGATGGACAATATACTAGCCTGGTTCTTCAAAGTGACCTTTTGACATCCCAGCTTGAGGTCACTTGGGGTGACGGTAAAAGGTCACTTAGGAACCCCAAAGAGGTCACGATCTGAAGAAGCTGGAAAGGAATACTATTTGGTGTACCTCGTCGTTCTCCAGACACACTCGCATGTAGGATTTTCAGTGGAACTGATCTTGGCGAGAAAAAACTGCCCCGCGCTGCATTTGGTTGGAAAGGTGAGACACCTGTCTCAGCTCTACAGCAAGCAACTAAGGACTTTTCTTTTGGGGTTTGAATGGCCTGGTTCCCATGGTTACCTGCTGTACTGGGAACTGAACTGCTGTTGTTCATATAGATTGAGACAGTTTTTCTAGATCAGTTTGCCCCTTCGCCATGCAGCAGCATTCCGAGGTCACGAGGTCGGACCGAGACGCGAACGAACACTCCACGCCTGCCACACCAAGGCTTTTGATGTGCAGGATAGAACGAGCAAAAAGGACAGTTTTCGGATTGTCTATATGCCTAGGGCTCCTGGCCTACCCCCGTTTCTAAGGTGGCTATAGGACGGGTTGCTTAGTTTTTTTCTTCAACACCTTTTGAGATCTTCTGAGGGTTTGGTTGGAGCCCCAGGGCAAAACCAATTCATATATAATTACTTAAGCTTCTGCCAAGGAGAAGCGGTCGTGTTGAATGTTGCACTCTTCGGAGGGGCAGGGAAGACAGCGGGATGGCGCACGAAGAGAGTGTGAATCCAATCTAAGTATGACTTGCAGTGATGAATAAGGACTTACTGTAGCCCCATCCCCGGTGCTGGGGGCCAATCTTTGCCCATTTGACTCGACTTAGTGACTTAGTGTTGCAAAGGTGCTGAAATGAAATTCAGCAGAATCTTTGGGCCCCAACATCCTCGAAAGGTAGGGACACAGCCCTCCAGCACCCTGGCTGAGTATATAATGATATACAATAATATACCCTAGGAATCCAAGTGCCTTCTCAGAAGGTGTTTGGGGTGGGTTTGGAGGGTCCAGGTGCCTTTTGAGAAGGTACTTGGATCCCTAGGGATATAATAATGATATGTATATATTGTACCAGGACCTTCAGATTGTGACCTCTTTGGAGTCTCTGTCAGTGACCTTTTACAGGCCCACGTGACCTCGTCCTGTGATCTCAAGGACGGTCACTTTGAAGGTCGTATACAAAAAGACATCAGATCGATCAGATATCATATGATATCACTGCATCTTGTTATATATCCCTTGCTCAGAGGATCGATCACCCCGCCCAGGCCGGGCTCCTGCATTCCGCGAACGCTCCTGCTGCCCCTGGGGGCGAACGCCCAAGTTCACACGGCGAAGCTCCAACGACTCGAGGTCACGAGGTGGAACACTGGAACACTGGATATGCTCCGTTGCTGAACACCTCTTAACTCATATGTTCGTCCGAACCGAGCATGTTGCAGTTGCACCCGGCAACAAGCCAAGTGACCAGAGGTGATGATGATGGGAGTTCTTTTCGCTTTGGGTTTCGATCAAGGAATGTAGGCCCCTGCCTTGAAAGTGACCAGCATCGTAGAATCTTCCAAATCCTTGGCAAGTTGACTGCAGGACTGTCCGCAGGGGTCTATAGAGTGTTTTGCAGCAGTTGAGCGAACAAAAAAATTCCTTTATCCCAACGTACATACAGTACTCTCAAGGAGTCGTAGGTGAACCCAAACAATATTGTAGCACTCTTACGTACCATTAAGGTAGACAATTACTCACAGGAATGAATATATGATCATTGTATGTTATATTAGCAAAGGTACTCCAACCCCGTTATGAACACCTTGAAGCCCTTGTCTGAAAACAAGAACGGAAAACCGTAAAAAAATGATATGTTTAATGCATTCTGTTAGGATTAGTTGTAGTATACCATCGAAAACTCCAACTAGCTCAGGCTTTTGACGTGTTTGGCTGGCCGCAGGGACCAGGCGGTCTCGTTTCATCTCAACCTGTGGTTCCTCTTCACGCCCCCTAAATCAACCATCATTTCTTGGATTCAGTCTCACCAACCCCATCTCCATCCGACCATCTCTCAGCGCGGAACCTTCTCTCAGGTGGCAAGTCTGGAGCCTGAGGCCACGCGCTCGGCCATTTGCATGGCAGAGGCCCTGGGCCCCTCGCGCGCGGGCCGACCGCTGGGGAGACCTCCGGATCACGAGCCGGGCAGCGGGCGGTCTTCCGAGCAGATCAGAACAGCTGATCATGATGAATCAGAATGTGTGTTGTTTTATTTGTTCTGAGAAGTGGTGACAGAGATACTGGATGATGACTCCCAAGATTGAGCATTGGTCAAGTGCGCTGAAACGACCAACCAGGATGACATGTCCTAGATTAAAGCAACATGGTGAACAAAATCTATTTCATCTATGAGCTTAATCAGTCCACCTATATGTGTTACGATGGAGGTTGCCCTGACCTAAGAGATGTTTGTGCCCTTTTTCTCTCCCTCCAGGCTGCCACGACTGCCTCGAACCACGAACTTGTACTATTAGATCCTCCAGACCCTCCCGATGTGGTTAGACTTGCAAGCCCTCCATGTTCCTTAGACCTTCCAGTTCTTAGAGACTCTCGGGCCACCAGAAGTCTTCGTCCATGCCGGGGCCACCGGCGGCCACAACAGTGACACGACCGCTGGACCGGCAGGTCATGACCATTCCGGCGATCAACTTCGGTCGGGCATTACAGCGATGGTCTTAGCGCGGGACTGGCTGAGAAGAAGGGTTTTCAAGGGATTTCAGGATATTCGTGCATTCATCAAGCCAGTATCCTTGCAAATATTGCACAGCCAGTATTCTTTCAATTGGAAAATCAGATCATGTGCATTGCATCAGTGCTTCGTTTGTCCGATATGTGAATGAGGACAGACATGGGGTCCCAGGAACCTGAAAGCTGCTCTCCAGAGCATGTTCAGACTGGGGGAAGAATTCATCATAATTCATCCAGTTCTGAAGAACCTCCCAAATGAACATCCAGTGTTCCAGACTGGGGAATAGTATGGAATAGTTCATTTTCAGTTATTTATTTACTTTCTTTTTTTTAATGTATATGTGTTCATGTTCATCCCCCATCAACACAGGAGTTCTTTGGACCAATCGTTAGGCGGTTGGGACGGGATTCCACTCCACGTGTGGGTTCTGGGGATTTCAACGTTGGCTTGGGGGGAAGGACCTTTTCAAAACACTGCCCCAAAACCCGGACTTACTGTATATATGAACTGCTAAACATTTCACCAGTTTGACAAAGAATCATGTGTTTTTTTGTCTTTGGACGGGGGAATACCAAAGGCCAACCAGCAAAGCAGCAACATGGACTCAACGACTAAGCCCTACACAATGGCAGGCTGATCTCTTTTTACTGAGACAACCACTCGTGGTGAGAGACCCACTCCGCCCTGGAAAAGCATCCGTTCTGACAGCAATTATCGCAGCCCAAGCGTTTTGTTGATCCAAAGCAACTTCGGAGATGGACGTGGCACTTCCAACATATTACTTGTGTAGCTCCAACCACATCCTCAGGTGGTTGGACCTGAATAACTTTCTCAGGAGGTAGTTGGAGCCCTAGGGTTAGTCATCAATTAGTCTCTCTCTCTCTATTTCTCTCTGACTCTGTTGGATCTCTTTAAAGCCAACCATAATCCAACGAGATTGTACTAAGTCCAACTCATGGGTTGGATTTGAGTCTTCCCACAGGAGACCGTGGTGAGACTCAGATCATATATGGACCATGGAAAGTCCGTAACTGAGTCTGATTCGGACCATTTGTAGTCCTGCATTGGACTCGATCAATAGTCTCGCCGATCATCATTCTCTTTACACTTCCTGGAACATATATTTATATAATATATAATTCGAATTATATATAGAAAAGGGCATCTTGGATGACCATGTTCCTTCACCAATCACTAGGTGCCATCCACGGTCACCATGAGGCTTCCGTTCTCGAGATCTGTGTCGCCGCCAGGTCGGGAGATCTGTGTCGTCTACTGCGCGGGGCCTTGAGACCTCGACACGTTCTGATAGAGTCCTCAAAGACACTTGTGACTTACATTCCACGGACAATGGACTTTTTTAATATATACATATAAATCTTGCAACTTACAACGCTCTTTTTTAGAAAAAAACAACGACGTGGAACTTCCTGCTGCCGTTTTGTTCGGTTCGATATTTGTTCTCACTAGTCCAGGATGAGAAATGAATCTGGAAAAAATGATTGGCATTCCAATAAAAGACTCCTTCAATTGTTTTTCTTCAGCCT